TAGAAACAAACAGGCATTCTGTTTTTTCTCTGTTATAGTGGTTACGATTATAGTGGCCACTATAGTAGACATCGATCACGTGCACAAGGCTATACGTGTGCAAAAATAACGTTCACTGAGTAAAAACTAAAATAATCCCCCCTCACTCACACACAACTGAATGTCAAGTTCAACACAACAAAAGCAATAGCAATAGCTTTGGGCTACACTGCACGTTATTACACTGTACACTTTATGCCTGTGGACATCTGTTCTACAATGTGCCAGCAGCAGAGTATGAGACCCTTTGTTGGCATAATTTATCTCTTTCAGGCAGAGAGTACACCTGGTATACCCCTTTTTATCCACTGTATTGAAAAAGTGAGAAAGAGGGAAAGTGTGTGGTTTTCCTTTCACCTCTATAGTGGCATCCATCTTAAACCAGGCCCAGCTCCACTTCATCCCTGAAACCACTTGCTTAACAAGCAACGCCTCATTTTCACCTAATTCTCTCATTCTGAAAATTAACCACATACTGTAGAGGGAAAACATTAGTTCATCAATAGTAGTTAGTTCGTTAGCTAGTTAACTAGCTAACAGAGAATTCGATCCAGCTAGCAAGATACTTAACAATGCGAACAATTATTGTTCCACCACACTTGCTCCCTCACCTCAAACTCTCCAAAACGGCAAATTTCGCCGAAAGGTGACTAGTTTGCATCCCTGATATATATACACCATCAAAATGATCGGGGCTGGACCAAAAACATCGGAAGCCCAGGCCTAACGACGCAACTGGCACAAATGTAACTTATATGTCATGATTTGAAACTGAACTAAATGAATATTGCATTCAGTTTTAAAATTCAATTTAAATGTAATTCAATATTCAAATTCAATATTTCTATATTCAGTTTTAATATGGTAAATATTGCATTCATTGTCTGTGTATCAAGTTTACAAACTATCATACAAACTATTTATATTGGCACTGAAATCACAAAAGTTTGTTATCTTGGTGAACTAAATCGGGGACTAGGATGCCCTCAATAAACCCCGTTTCCATTGGCACTTTGAAGTCAAACCAGGTTGGGTTGGCCTTGGTGGCTAGCTCAAATTGCGTTTCCACTGTCTCCAGAAATTAGAAATGATGTCATGTTGCTAGGTAGCCAATATGTGACTGCAGCTGGCTTCGCTAATGTTGAAGAATTAAATTCACCGTCACAATGCTGTAACTAACGTTACCCCATTTACTCCTGCCAGTGCCAGCCAGACTCAGAGCCATGTATTTAGCTTGCTGACGTTAGCTAGCTAGCTAAACGGTTAGCCTCGTCGCTAGCATAACCGGCTAGCTAGCTTAATTCCTTGCTTGTCATGGCAGAATTGATATGATGTAGCTACAATAGCTAGCTAGGTTTCAATACGACCTGGTCAGCTAAAATGCCTGCCAGCTCACGTTAGCTAGCTGGCTTGTTTCAACTCTGATTTGCTAGCTAACGTTAGGTAGCTAGCATTTGAGGGCTGACTGTTCTCATAAACGTGTATTGTGTAGTGCAAAAATGAATGATGGATCCAGCTATGGTGGTAATTCGTGTCATGTCTGACTACTGCAGTACTGCTTGTCCATGTGCTAGGTAACAGCAATAAGCCCGGACGAGCTTGCTAAACGTTGTGTGAGCGTCCAGCAGTGATCAGCTTGGTGGTTGCATAATAAAGGCGTCACCCAGACCGAATTCTAATCGAGCTGGCACCAGCTGTGAAACTGGGCTGCACTGATCCCTGGTTTCCCTCGACCCAGCTCGATTTGAGTATTCCATTCGAGCCAGCTCGAATTTGGCAGTGGAAACGGGGTTTATAGAGGACAGCATTGATCAAAAATCAATAAATGCTGTCTTTGGTTGATCGAGTGGATGGTAAAAAGGGCATAATGGAGCTTATCCAGACAGATCCTGATCTCTAGTGGTGTCATATATTTCATGTATTCACACCATAGATGTAATATCATTCACACATTGAAAGAGATTATTGACTAATGATACATTGATGGACCCAGGCTGGCACTAGATAGGCCTAATACAATTATGAGATCCTGATTGTGTGTTGTAGCATGATTCACTCTATTACCGGAATTAAGATGTGGAAGTCAGAAGCTTATGTAATGGATTCAACAGTAAAAACAATTACATGCTAAATGACTTTTCCATTAGAATGTATTATTGCTTTTGATGCTTTTTTATTTTAATTCTGGTATAATTATTATTCATCTTGATTATTCTTTGGTTCCATTTCTGATTCCAGTTCCCAACAGTAGCAGAATGTGGCAGTGTTTGTTGCCAGCCTATCAGGCAAAGTCTAATTAAGAATGACAGAAGCCATGGCGTATAGAAAGATAGCTTTATTGCACAAGGTGTTAGAATACTATTTTTGTTTGTTTTTCATTATATTTCATAGAAAATGTTCTTTTAAACACAAGCAATTGCTATTAGAAGCAACTCAAACGAATGTTTGGAATCCCCTCAACATTTGTTTTCTTCAAATTTAATTTTTTTGTACATTTCTTTCCCTCACCTTTTCCCTTTTACCGAGCATGCAATGTCATTTGTGAGGATGAACAGAATACAAAAAATGATAATAAAAAAATGTGAATCTGGAACATCAAAAATCCTTTAAAAAATAATAAAAATGCAACAAATTAGTATCAAAAACATAAAGGGAATAGAGAAGAATGACTACATTTGTTGCCCCTTGCAGAAATCAATGTTTATCAAATCAATATTTTCAATCATGTTGTTTTAAATTTGGATTTGGGGCATGATTCAACCCTGATCTGTGCCCTGTTTTATTCTGACGAAAATAGCTCTTCATACAAAACTGTGTTTTATGTACAAGAGTTAATCTATAAACAACACCGACAAAGGTAGTGGCGGTGGGTCCAGTACTCTATGTCCAAGGTGGGAGGGAGTGGCAGGTTTTCCTGACCCAGTCCAGTATATACACAATTTCAGTGTGTGTGACCTAAAGAGCTAGGAGTCCCTGATTTCACTTGGCTAAAACTGGCCGAAGACGTATGTGTGTCAAACCTCAGTACTGTTTGGCCTCTGGAATCACATTTGTTTTAACCAGAAACAAGTAAAAACAAACATATTCAATCAAAATGAACATATGGACGTAATCCAAAAACAAAAGAAACGACAAAACACTAGAATGGCGATGCTTCAATAGACATTCCAACAGGTTCCGGTGTTGATGTAGCCTACATGTAGTAGCACAAAATGGAGCTGGGGATGAGGATGGACATGGCTATTGGGGATGGAAAAAGAAGTGGGAAATATACAGTACTTAAGACAGGGCAGCAACAGAGACACCAATAGACCACTGACTGCCCATCATCCTATCATATTCAAACTGAACACCCCGATTGGCTGGCAGCGTCTCTCTGGTAAACTAGACAGTTCACATGATTATCCTCCTTGGTGCCTTGGCGGACATTTTGTATTGGAGGGAGGGAGGCAGTAATACACAGGCTGAGAGGTTGATACAGGGCTACTGGTGTGCATTCTGTGCGGTAGCTAGCTGTGGGATACAGTAGCCGTGCTCTGATCCCTGACTTCTGCTCCACTCACAGTGACCCTATAACCCCACTGCTACCACAGATCAAAGGCCCATACCTGAGGCCCTGAGAGGTCATGGCCCTTGTTTACTCAAGTAACAGGTGAACCAAAGCAGATAAATTATAGACAACAGTGTAGGTCGCCCTGGATACACCCGTCTTTAAAGGAAATGATTTGGCTTCTGAAAAGTAAGTACACCAACCAATCACTGACAACCTCATGAGATACCAACTAATAGGGGGCTTTGAGATGGACACTTCCTGTCTGGACAGGAAGTCACCTCGTTCCTCTCAGCCTTTCTACATACAGTAACATACAGAACACCCTCTATATACACGTGCTCCTCCCTCTTCATAATACTCTTCTATTCTTTACCCCTCTTTCACTTTCACTGCTTTTCACATGATTAAGCGATTGTCTCCTTATATTTTTTTAAACATTTAAATTGTTGTAGATGTTTTATTCTTTGCCATAATTTCACTTAAATGACATAATATACTTATATAGAAATATATACGCGAAATCTTCAAAATACCAAATATTCTATATTTGTTAGTATTGCGAGAGCCCTGATGTTTTTAATTCATTGCTGGGTCATTTGGGTTGTCATGTTTCGGTCAAAAGCTATCAGATACTGTTGAGTTGGAAGGAGGAGGGGAGTTTGAGGAAATATCAACAATAAATGTGCTAAAATATGAACTCAATGTTCTGAGTGAGGTGAACCTGAAATCCTTCCTTATGGAATCCACACTGAGAGAGTAACTGCCGATGGAGAGTGAGACTGGACATTGAGACATAGAGAGAGTAAGACGAGACTAGAGGGGATAAAACTGGTAGTCCTGCAGCAGCTTCTGCTCAAACCTTGGAGGGCAGCATAATGTGTGTGAGGGTATGATGAACACTGATATTTAGCCCAGCCTCTGCTATCATTGACTTCATCAGCACAAGCAGTGAGATTTCACTGTTCAGCTCCTCAGTAATACTCAATGGTTTGAAATTACCTTGGAGAACAGCTCCAGGTCTTCCTGTGTGTGTGTGTGTGTGTGTGTCCTCAGACACACAAACTGAGCAGCATGGCAGCAGGCTAGAACTGGTAGTTAGTAGGAGATAGTAGTTTGTTTTATACAGGTCCAGGTGAGCATGAATCAGGCAGGTTACAATGGTCTCTGGTCATTCCTGGGAGGCAGAATCTAAGGTCTGAATAAAGACTAATCACGCTACTGGGTAATTAGATGTTAGCTAGCAGTTAGCTGGGGACACCTGCTGCACTGCACTGCACTGCACTGCACTGAATGCCCTCCCTGACCTGATGTGTAGAACACTGGTGTGGGGCTGGGTGTGGGCCGGGGCCGGGCCAGACAGGAGTGTATAGTCTTTGAGAGAGAGAAGGGGGGCTAGTAGCTACACCAGTGTGTAAGACTTGGAGTAGGCCCCGACCCCTTGCTTCTGCAGTCTGCCCAGCGCTGAGGAGCTGTTCTCTAGCAGTGAGTCTCTGGAGCCCCCCATCTTGGTGCTGGAGCCAGTGGGGTTGCTGCTGGTGCTGGAGGTGGAGGCTGTGGCTGCAGGGTTGGAGCCGGGCATGGTGAGAGTCCTCTGGGGCAGGGTGGCAGTGCCTGAGCTCACGCCCAGACTGCCCAGTCCAGAGTGGCCCAGCGTCAGGGCCTGTTGCTTGGACGGGTCCAGAGTCATGTGACGTCCCTGGGTGTGGTACGCCCGCTGTGCCAGGCTGCGGATGGAGGCCTCCCTGGGCGGGACCGCAGGGCATGGGTCATGCAGTTCCGCCTGCTTCCGGAAGAAAGGGTCAGTCTTCATGTAGAGCGGGAGGTTGCAGAATTCACCTAGCGACAAGGACAGAACAGAGAGAGGGAGGGGCTTAGAGACCTGTTGAGATGTACAACAAACAGCCTCTGGCAAAGTATAATGTGGTGCCACTGTGCCAGACAGGGTGGCTCTCTGTACTCACTCTTGTTGGCGCGGTGGGGGATAGGCACGGCCACGTTGGTAGGTCTGCCACGGTCATAGTCCTGGGGTTTGGGTGGCGAGGCGGTAAAGCGACACAGGCCTGTCTCGGACGGCGTGCTGAGTGATGTCATGCTGTCGGCCGGATCATTGGTGCCTGTGGTCATCTGGTCAGAGGAGCTGTCGGAGATGAAGCATTCTGTGATGGTGAACTTGGCATGCTGCAGGTGCTCCTCCAGTTTGGCGTGTTCGTAGGCCCGCGCCAGCTCCTCATACGTAGACGACGCACTCTCTGTGGACACCATGCTGTTACGACCCTTATCTGGAAAAACAATAAATGCCATATCATATTAGAACAACGTAATATGAAGTTTGCATACAGTACAGCTGTGCCAGTAGGCCTTTCAAGGTATCCTACAGGTCAGGTTTTGGGGATGTAAGAGATAGATGTGTTAATGATGGGTCTTTAGAGGCGTTGTTGCCAGGGTAGGGCGGTACCCACCAGTATCCTGGGACAGGCTGGCGCTGTAGCTGTCACTCTCGGTGGCGGTGATGCCGTGGGAGCCCATGGTGCGCCAGTCAGAGGTCAGAGTCCTTGCGGAGGCTGTTGATTGGCTCTGGCCCGGCCTGCTCAGGGTCCACTGGCTGGAGTAGCGGTTTCTGGAGCTGTGGGCTGACTTCACACACTTCCTCGACACTGGGTCTGAGACAAGAAGAGGATAGGAGGAGGACGGTGAGAGGATATAACTCACTCACTGGGTACTATTCATAACAGTTATAATCATTTTGGGTGTACATTTTGGGTGAGCTGACACCCAAACATTTTGCGTGTCAGCTCAAGCTAACTCCTACACATCACACTGTAATAAGACATATTTCCATACAATGCACATCCTACTGTATGTGAAGTACTCACTGGTTCCAGGGCGGATGTCTGACATGTCAATCAAGGGCCCTGTGTTCTGCATGAGGGCGGGATGGTGCAGAGATACGCCCGTACAGAAGCTCTGTGGATTCACTGATTGGCTGAACTCTGTGTCCGTCACTGGGGCCACTGCCTTGTCCTCACCTGTTGGAGGCAGGAGATGAGGAAAATATATTATGACAGTTGTTCAAAAATATCTGTGATACACAATTCATCTCCCTTGTCAGATGTTCTCATCATAGGCTGATTGTAAATCACACTCTACCAATACGTATTTAGTAACTTGAGAGAAATCATTTGATTGGTTAGTTAGTGTACTGGAACTAAAGGCTATTTAATTGGACGATATTCAGTCTGATCGATCTGATTGGCTGCAGTGTGTCCATACTGACCTATCTGCTTGATGCCCTCCTTGTCCTCGATGAGCAGCTGGACACGGGGGATGTCGATGTGGAGCCGAGGGCCCTGGGGAGGACCCTTCACTGGAGTGTCCATGCTGCGGTTGTTCTTACTGCTCAACACACAAAACAAGACACACACTTAGACTGGATCCACTGTCACATCAGCAGTACTTACATAGTGTACATGTATACATATATAACTGGAGTATATTGGTGATACTTTAGCAGAGTTTACTGAGACTTGCAGGTATATTCAAAGATCCATCAAGATCCCATGGAATATGACACATCCATAACCACAGGCACCAATCAATCAAGAGTATTATCCTTACCTGATAAGCATCTCTGCAAGGCTCTTAGCATCTGTGAAAACAAACACAAATGTCTTTATTAGATTATAATGGATCATCATGTGGATTAGGCAAATTATATTGACCTGTTACCTTTAGTGCTTCCGAGTTACTTACTCACCCCCACCAAGCAATTATGTCTTTCCCTCTCTGTTCTCCCCTCCCCCTCTTTCCTCTCTTTCTTCCTCCTTCCCTCTGTTTCTCACCTCTGAGTCGTTTGAGTCTCTTCTCCTTGCGTTTCTTGCGGATGATGAAGAGCAGGGCGACGCCCAGGGTGACCAGGATGACAGGAGAGCCGATGGAGAACAGCTTCTTCACATCATCCCTGTCCTCCTGGGCCGAGTTTATAGGAGGGATGGTACCTGGGAGGGAGAGAAGGGGTCAGAGGTAGATTAAATGACTGCTTTTACCACCACTCACATTCTACTCCTCCCTCTCTCCTACCCTTTTTTGGCCTCCCTCCCTATCCCCTTCTCTTTGATGACTGTAAGTAGCTCTTAATAAGAGAGTATGCTCAAATGTAAATGTCAATGTCAAAGCAGCAAGTGAGAGCTGGTATCTGGTAGAAACAGGAAGTGACTCACTGCCGTCATAGTCTGTGGTGGCGAACTGGGAGCTCTGGTTCCCACAACCGGCACTATTACAAGCCTTCATCTTCAGCTCGTACCAGGTGGCCTCGCGCAGCTCGCTGAGGAAGAACTGGGCCGTGGCGTTGGCCTTCAGGCTCTGCCAGGCCCACGTGCCCTTGGGGCGGAAGTCCAGCAGCAGAGTGGTGATGGGGCAGCCTCCGCTGGTCCAGCCCTGCAGGTTGAGCCCTGCGTAGGTGGAGTTGATGTGGGTGAGTAGGGGCTGCTCCTTGTTGAACACGGGCTCTGCAGGAGAAGAGGAGAGACAGGGAGATTGTCAGACTGGGAGTATTGAAGTTAGTGTGTTAGAGTGTGGATGTAGTTTATGTGCAACACATGATGTGAGATAAAATATAAATCATGAGTTTTAAAATTTAACTCTTTCTGCTCTTTCCATCCTCTACACCCTCTCCCTCCCCTCTCTCTCCTTCCCTCCTCCCCCTTGATCCTTCCTTTCCCCTCACCTCGTCCGTGGGTCTTAGCCTCGATGATCTCAGAGATGCGTCCTGAGCCCACACTGTTCTTGGCTGCCAGTTTGACCTTGTACCAGGTGCCACAGCGCAGGTTGTCCAGCCTGAAGGAACGCTCACTGGAACTAATGAACACATCCCTCCACTCCTCTGTGTTGTCCACCGAATACTGCAGGACGAAACCTGAGGACACACAGGGACACACTACATAATTATTTAAACATTCCTTTATCATCTGCCAAATACACAAATACACAATTAAAAAAACAATGAAATACTGTAAATGTCTGTCAATTACAATATCCTCCCAGTTCAAATATTAAAGCCATATTACACAACCTGCACATACTCTATTGAGGCAAAATCAGGTCAGGTCTAACGGCTGTTACACCCTTTGAACACCAGGGGGAGATAAAGGATTTAGAATACCCTCAGTGATACAGTACGTTCCATTGCTATGAGTATATCAGACATTAGGAGCTAACAGTTAACACATTGACAGGAACTGAGAAAATCACACAAATAGACAAAAGGGTATATCAACATTATTGATATTTATGGAGGAATTATCTCTCAGTGAGAAACAGCAGCTAAAGAACTCTCCTCAGACTGATCCTAATGCACTAAGGCCCAGGTGGAGGGGAGTGGAGTGCTGTACCTCTGATGGAGCTGCCTCCGTTGTCCCCAGGGATCCAGGCCAGGGTGATGGAAGAGGTGGAGGTGGTGGAGACGGTTAGACGGGGCTGGTCTGGAGGAACTGGACATCCAGAGAGAGAACACAGTCAGACACAGTTAGAGTCAATCAGCACCACAGAGACCAGGCACAAACAGCACACAGTTAGAGTGAGCAGATAGAGGGACCAGATAGAGAGAGAGACGATACATACACAGTCAGAGGAACACAGAGAAACCAGCTGAGACAACCCCATAAGGTCCTCAGATCTCTCCCCACCCATACACTCAACCAGCCCAGCGTATCCCAGCTCACCTTGCACCAGCAGGTTGACTATGATGGTGTCAAAGCCCAGCGTGTTGGTGGCCGTGCACGTGTAGTACCCAGAATCCTCAGCTTTGACGGAACGCAGCACCAGTGTACCGTTGGACAGGATCTGACGCTGTCCGTCCACAGTCACAGGGATAGTCGAGTCCTCACTGATACACACACATAGAGGATCACAATTAGACTTATCATAATACACCAACCTCATACCTGTATGGTAGACTTAACCCTGACCTGAACCTTATCTTCCCAAACCCAGCATTGGCACCAAGTCTAAAGTTTCTCCTAGCATTGATTGTGAGTTCCCCACTTTACTTTAATGAGTTAGGAGAGTTCTGACCTGTCTTTGGTCCATTTGATGGTGGGGGTGGGTTCTCCCACTGAGCTGCAGGGCAGACGGACCTCCTTCACCCAGGGAGTGGTCACTGTGCCCCCGAATGACAAGATCTTAGCTGGGGCTGCAGACAGAGGGCAGGGGACACAGGTTCAACTGGGGATATCACATATACACACACACACTGAATGTGCTCACGTGCGCATGCACGCATGCACGCACACACATACACACACTTAGGCACCCAGGCACACTTACAGCCAGACAAACACTCTAACCTCCCTGCTCTATTTTCTCTTTCTTGATGTGTAAGCATCTTTCTCTAGTGTTTGCTGAGTGATCCTGGTATTGAGTAGGTTAGCCTGGAGGGTAGCCTTTTACCCGCAGAGCGCTGGAGTGCCCCCCGCCCCCCATCCCTCCGTCTCGCTCAGTCCATCTATAGATTCTCCCCTGTATTGATCCCTGTCCACCCTCCCCTCCCTAAGGGCCAGTTTACTGGGTAGGCCCTGTTCATCACCACATAATTAACAACAGTGTGTCCTGCTACACCGCCAGCCCTCAATCAATACTACAGCTATCAGTCAATAGCACAGAGAGAGAGAGAGAGCGAGAGAGAGAGAGGAAGAACTTGGGATAGAGAGGGAGAGAGAAGAGAGAAAGAAAGACAATAGAGAGGAGAGAGAAGAAAGGTACAGAGAGAGACAGATGAAAGCCCTTTTTTTGTTCTTTTCTTTAATAACCTTTACACAAATCCCTCCATCCCTCCTCCCTTACCTTTCCCAGCAGGCTCCACGGTGACCTTTTCGCTGATGTTGCCACGGCCAGCAGTTGTCACGGCGGCGGCCCAGATGAGATACTGTTTACCGCGGGTCAGATGGGTGATCCTGTAGAACAACATCTCTGGGTTGGCCTCATACTCACTGGGAGCCTGGGGGAGAGATATAGAGGTTCGATTATTAACACTGTATAATACCATGGTACAATGGTACAGTAGCACTCTGGAGGGGCTGCTTGGTATCTATGGTCAACTGGCATGAGGGAAGCCCAGATGGCTTGAAAGAGAACTAAGGAGTTTAGAACTAAGGAGTATAACTCATGCATGTATGCAGGCACGCACAAACACACACACACACACACACACACACAACAACACACAAACACATGCACCACCTCCCTCATCTGTTCATCACTCAATACCCATCTTCACCTCTTTTTCCATTTGCCTCATTTACCTTTTTCTCTCTTTCTCTCTCCCTCCCTATCTCAGCCTCTACCCAGGCTTGCTGGAGAGCAGGGTGGGTATGATAGAGGGATAGAGAGAAGAAGGGAGGGGACGAGGGAGAAGGGGTGAATGTGGGGCTCTGGGGGGGTGAGTAACAGGAACATTAGAACATTCCTCCAGCGTGGAGGCAGCAGTGTAGTGGTGATCCAGAGAGAGAATGAAAAAAGGAGTTAAAGCACTCTCATCTCTGTGTGACTGATACCCTCCTCTGCTCCTCCCTCCCTCTCTCTCCTCCCTCCCCCCGTCTCCCTCCCTCCCTCCTCTTTTCCATGCTCATTTACATGGTACTCTTGGACATAGCGAAAGAGGGTGAGGATTTGTGAATGATAAGAAAGTGGGATTCTTCCATGATAGCAGGATTTTATTGGATTGTGTGTGTGTGTGGTCTGAATGTGTGCCACCAGAAAATGTGTGTGTGTGTGTGTATGTGTTTGTGAGAGAGAGAATAGTGTGGATGTGTGAAAACTGCATAGCTAGTTCAGGCCTGTGCGTGTGAGAGCTCCTGATGCTGCAGTGTGCATGTGTGAGCTTGTTCTCTGCTTCATTTGCATATCTACGTCTCATCATGTTGCCAAGACAACCTCATCTGTTCATCTGGGAGGGCAGGAAATAAAGCGACGGAGCAAACACAATGCGATAGAGACACACCCAAACACACACGCACACACACACACACACACACACACACACACACACACACACACACACACACACACACACACACACACACACACACACACACACACACACACACACACACACACACACACACACACACACACACACACGCACACACACGCACTCACTGAGTGATGGTTACTAATTAATTATCCATCAAGTGCTATATCATGCATTCACATCATGTCTTGTCATTAGGGCTTTAATTCTCTGCCTCTCCAATACCTGTCACTGCGCCTCCCCCATCCTATACTCTGCCCTCTCAGTGGTACTTACCGGCTGTCCGGAGCCTGGGCTGGAGCAGTAGATGGTGTACTTGCGGATGACACCATTGGGTTTATGGGGGGGTAGCCAGGATACGACCACACTGTTGGGAGATGAGGGCACTGCTTTGATACCAGCTGGAGGACCTGGGACTGGAGAGGATACACAATACATAGACAGGTCAGCAGGGCTGTGTGTGTGTGTGTGTGTGCACGCGTGTGTGTGTGTATGACTGGGTACTAAAGCCATGTTCAAGTAAACACGGGTGTGTGCGGGCGCACGGCCATTTCCGTGCGCGTGGGTGTTAAAACCGTGTTAAAGTGAGCAGGGTTGTTTGCAGATTGCCAGTCTTATCCTGTGCTGTAAGCTGCTCTGGGAGGACTTGGAGGAGGTCCCCTGGGGATGGGCCAGGCCCAGGCCAGACCAGGGCCAGACCAGGGCCAGCGGTGACATATGTTCACTCAGACACTGTGGTCAGCAGTTCTGCTGTGCTCCCTCTGCTCTCACACCCTGCAGTCTAACTCTCTAACCCCTAAACAGATTAACACACACCATGGCCACTTGACTGAGACGCCTAAAGAGCCTTAAACTCTATCAGTCATCAACAAACATAAAGCCTCAATACTCTCCTACTGTCTACGCATACAGTACACTGGAAATTATTCTAAGAATACAACCCGTTCATCAGATAGAAATGAATGGGTCTCCCTGGGTTACAAGGGACAGGGTTGAAATGAATATTGTGAGGCTACACTACATTAGACCTTCTTCCATGTACTGTACTGTACTGTACAGCAGGACCTAAAGCACAGAGATTAAGGACCTATCCAACCCTAGATAGAGATCAGTAGCGTTATGTGACCTGATGCACTTGACCCTGCAGGATCCTTTATGGATCATGGTGAAGAGGGAGGACTGTTAGAGAGATCCAGGACCCCCTCTATCCCCTCCCTCTCAATCCCATCCAGGGTAGCCTACTCCCCCCAGTAATCCTGCTCTGTTTCCCTGGGCCCCCTCCATCTCCTGGGGCGCCATCTCAACCTCCATATTATGGCACGAACAACAGCAGGGAGGGGAGGGGATGGAGGGAGGAGAGGGTTAGGGGCAGCCTCAATGGGAGATGAGAGGGGGGATTGGGGGGTGGTTATAGGAGAAATGCATCATTATCATAACTTGGCCTTCATGTCAGAATGGGGGGGTGTTAAGCTCCATCTGCTGCCCAAAATCTGCACGTGCCCAGTCCAGACTGTCTGGTCCACTGTCAGACAACCCAGTGATGAGGAATCATAAACAGTAACCTACAGTACACTACTGCTGAACAACTAGCTACTTCTAACCATGGTCTTAACCATGACCATGACTATGCAGCCCAAACCACATATACCAAAAGCCTTCAGAGAGAAAGGGACAACCGCTGCCTCCCAAAGAGCCTCAAATACCAGGGACCAACAGAGAAGAACATGTGGCACAGGAGGGATAACATACATGGAGTCTAATGTACCACCAAGGCTAAAACAGTATATATAAGAAGTATTACAAAAAGCCACCAAAGCGTCTAGCAGTCACGCCCTGACTGAGGACTCGTATTTGTTGAGTGAGGGTGTGTATTTTCTGTGTAGTATGTTCTATGTTGTATTTTCTATGTTTAGATCTAGGATGTCTAGATCTATGTTGGCCGGTGTGGTTCCCAATCAGAGGCAGCTGTCGCTCGTTGTCTCTGATTGGGGACCATACTTAGGCAGCCTATTGGCACTGTGTAGTTGTGGGATCTTGTTCCGGTTAAGGTATGTTGTGTTGTGCTGCCTTGGACGTCACGTTTTGTTTGTTTATTGTTTTGTCGGTTGTTTATTCATTTAAATAAACATGTACGTATATCACGCTGCGCCTTGGTCTGACCCGTCTGTAAACGAGCGTGACAGAAGATCCCACCAAACGAGGACCAAGCAGCGTGTTCAGGAGCAAACGCCGGGAATTCAACAGGAGGTTACATTAGTAGATGTCCTCCTCGGTTGGGGGAGAATTACGGAGGAGGAGGCCGTCCGTTACCGGAAGGCGATGAAGGAGGATGCCTAGGTAGGAGAGGAGAAACGGCGCCAACAGTGCCGACGATGGAGACCCGAGAGGCAACCCCAATAATTTTTTTTGGGGGGGCACACGGTGTGGACGACGAGGCAGCAGGAGGCCGTTAAAGGGCGGATCTGCAGGTTAGGAGAGGAGGCCACCATGTTACGGGGGCTATTGGTTCAGAGGGAGCAGGAGTTATTCGGTCAGAGGGAGGTGCTACAGGAGGCTAAAAGGGAGAAGGAAAGTGTAGAGGCACGGCGAGAGGAGCTGGTTAGGCAGCAGAAGGAGCAGGGGTTTATAAAGGAACCCAGTCCCGCTTCTCGCACCAAGCAAGTGGTGCGTGTCGCCAGTCCAGTCCGGCCCGTTCCTGCTCCCCGCACCAAGCCAGTGGTGCGTGTGTCCAGCCCGGCCCGGGCTGTTCCTGCCCCTCGCACCAAGCCAGTGGTGCGCGTCGCTAGCCCGGCCCGGCCTGTTCCTGTCCCTCGCACCAAGCCAGTGGTGCGCGTCGCCAGCCCGGTCCGGCCTGTTCCTGCCCCTCGCACCAAGCCAGTGGTGCGCGTCGCCAGCCCGGCCCGGCTTGTTCCTGCTCCTCGCACCAAGCCAGTGGTGCGCGTCGCCAGCCCGGCCCGGCCTGTTCCTTCCCCCCGCACTAAGCCAGTGGTGCGTGTTCCCGGCCCGGCCCGTTCCTGCCCCTCGCACCAAGCCAGTGGTGCGCGTCGCCAGCCCGTCCCGGCCTGTTCCCGCTCCTCGCATCAAGCAAGTGGGGCGTCTCGCCAGTCCGGTCCGGCCCATTCCTGCTCCCCGCACTAAGTCAGTGGTGCGCGTCGCCAGCCCGGCCCAGCCTGTTCCTGCCCCTCGCACCAAGCCAGTGGTGCGCGTCGTCAGCCCGGCCCGGCCTGTTCCTGCCCCTCGCACCAAGCCAGTGGTGTGCGTCGCCAGCCCGGCCTGTTACTGCTGCCCGCACCAGGCCAGTGGTGCGCGTTGCCAGTCCGGTACGGCCCGTTCCTGCTCCCCGCACCAAGCCAGTGGTGCGCGTCGCCAGCCCGGTCCGGCCCGTTCCTGCTCCCCGCACCAAGCCAGTGGTGCGTGTGTCCAGTCCGGCACAGCCCGTGCCTGTTCCACCGGTGCCTGGTCCGGCACCGGTCAGCTGCTCCACTCCGGAGCCAGAGTAGTCCGCTCCACCGGTGCCCAGTTCAGCTCCGGTCAGCTGCTCCACTCCGGAGCCAGAGCAATCCGCTTCACCGGGGTCCAGTCCAGCTCCGGTCAGCGGCTCCACTCCGGAGCCAGAGCAGTCCGCTCCACCGGTGCCTGATCTAGCTCCGGTCAGCTGCTCCACTCCGGAGCCAGAGCAGTCCGCTCCACCGGGGTCAAGTCCAGATCCGGTCAGCGGCTCCACTCTGGAGCCAGAGCAGTCCGCTCCACCGGTGCCCAGTCCAGCTCCGGTCAGCGGCTCCAGTCCGGAGCCTGTGCAGTCCGCTCCACCGGTGCCCGGTCCAGCTCCGGTCAGCGGCTCCAGTCCAAACCCAGACGTCAGCCCCTCTCCAGGTTCGGGGTCTCCCACACCAGGGTCCAGACAGGGCTTGGTACTTCGTGGGAGGAAGGAGAGGGGAAGCAGCGCGCCGAGGTCCAGACCAGACCAGGGGCGCAACAGGGAGGCGGAGAGTAAGTGGTCGTCACGCCCTGAGCCGGATCCGCCTCCGAGGCGGAATGCCCACCCGGCCCCTACCCTGTTATGTTTATGTTGTGCGGTCGGAGTCCGCACCTTTGGGGGGGGGGTACTGTCACGCCCTGACTCTGGGGACTCGTATTTGTTGAGTCAGGGTGTGTATTTTCTGTGTAGTATGTTGTATTTTCTATGTTTAGATCTAGGATGTCTAGATCTATGTTGGCCGGTGTGGTTCCCAATCAGAGGCAGCTGTCGCTCGTTGTCTCTGATTGGGGACCATACTTAGGCAGCCTATAGGCACTGTGTAGTTGTGGGATCTTGTTCCGGTTAAGGTATGTTGTGTTGTGCTGCCTTGGACTTCACGTTTCGTTTGTTTATTGTTTTGTTGGTTGTTTATTCATTTAAATAAACATGTACGTATATCACGCTGCGCCTTAGTCTGAACCGTCTGTAAACGAGCGTGACACTAGCAAAGCAGGGCAAACAGAAGGGCTAATATTTAATTTTTCCTCCATCCATCATACAGTTTCTTCTTTATTTTTATATTTTGTCACTCACTCCTTCGCCCGGGAAGGCCCAGCTGTGCCACCTCTCCCTCTCTCCCTCCCATTCTCCTCTCTCTCCATCCCCCTCCTCCTCCTGTTTAGGGGAGTGAAGGAGACAGGGATCGGCCTGTAATCCCGCCTCCAATGGTGTAAGCACAAAATTAATTATCTCTAATCCAGGAGTAGTTAATCCCTGGGCCTGACTGCCTGGCTGGTTGGCTACTTGTGTCCAGGGGGCTGTGGGCTGCAGGGCTGGGTGCTGTGGATCAGTCCCCCTTCTCTCCCTCATTCTGCCTCTACCCCTCCTCTTCTATCCCCTATCTCTAGTCTCGAGCCCTCAGCCATGGACCCAAAGCCTCTTAATTCTCATTAGTACTGGTAATGGGGCCTCACTACACATATGAGCTTTAGTCATGGGCTTGAGATACTCCCTGACACCCTTCTCTATCCCCCCATAAACACACACACACTCATACACAGCCTCCCTATGAGCTTCTCCTCCCTTCCAAGCAGTGTGCATCTCAGTGTGATTGTGTTTCTATCTTTCTGTGGTATATATACAGTACCAGTCAAAAGTTTGGACACACCTACTCATTCCAGGGTTTTACTTTATTTTTACTATTTTCTACATTGTAGAATAATAGTGAAGACATTGAAACTATGAAATAACACATGTGGAATCATGTAGTAACCATAAATGTGTTAAACAAATCAAAATATATTTTATATTTGAGATTTTTAAAATAGCCACCCTTTGCCTTGATGACAGCTTTGCACATTCTTGGCATTCTCTCAACCAGCTTCACCTGGAATGCTTTTCCAATAGTCTTGAAAGAGTTCCCACATATGCTTAGCACTTGTTGGCTGCTTTTCCTTCACTCTGCCGTCCGACTCATCCCAAACCATCTCAATTGGGTTGAGGTCGGGGGATTGTGGAGGCCAGGTCATCTGATGCAGCACTCCATCACTCTCCTTCTTGGTAAAATAGCCCTTACACAGCCTGGAGGTGTGTTGGGTCATTGTCCTGTTGAAAAACAAATGATAGTCCCACTAAGCCCAAACCAGATGGGATGGTGTATCGCTGCAGAATGCTGTGGTAGCCATGCTGGTTAAGTGTGCCTTGAATTCTAAATAAATCACAGACAGTGTCACCAGCAAAGCACCCCCATACCATAACACCTCCTCCTCCATGCTTTACGGTGGGAAATACACATGCGGAGATTATCCGTTCACCCACAACGCGTCTCACAAAGACACGGCGGTTGGAACCAAAAATCATTTCCACCGGTCTAATGTCCATTGCTCGTGTTTCTTGGCCCATGCAGGCCTCTTCTTCTTATTGATGTCCTTTAGTAGTGGTTACTTTGCAGCAATCGACCATGAAGGCCTGATTCACACAGTCTCCTCTGAACAGTTGATGTTGAGATGTGTCTGTGACTTGAACTCTGTGAAGCATTTATTTGGGCTGCAATTTCTGAGGCTGGTAACTCTAATGAACTTATCCTCTGGGTCTTCCATTCCTGTGGTGGTCCTCATGAGAGCCAGTTTCATCATAGCGCTTGATGGTTTTTGCGACTGCACTTGAAGAAACTTTCAGTTCTTTTGATTTTCCATATTGACTGACCTTCATATCTTAAAGCAATGATGGACTTTCGTTTCTCTTTGCTTATTTGAGCTGTTCTTACCATATTATGGACTTGGTCTTTTACCAAATAGGGCTATCTTCTGTTAAAGTCTATATCAGGGGGAGGGTAATGTATATGTGTGTGTTGAGAGAGAGAGAGAGTGTGTGTTTGCGTGTGTGTGTGTGTCCGCGCAAGTGCACATGTGTGTGTGTGTACTCACGGTCCTCGCGGGTTTGGATGTACAGGACATTGCTCCTGACCCCATCCCCAGCCTGTGTGTAGGCCAGCACCTGGACACTGTAGTTAGTAAACTTCTCCATCCCTCTCAGCTCCACCTGCTCACGAGTTGTAGTGATGTTTTGCATCTCTCCCCATTCTGAGAGAGAGAGAGAGAGAGAGAGAGAGAGAGAGAAAGAAAGAAAGAAAGAAAGAAAGAAAGAAAGAAAAGAAAGAAAGAAAGAAAGAAAGAAAGAAAGAAAGAAAGAAAGAAGAGAGAGAGAGAGAGAGAGAGAGAGAGAGAGAGAGAGAGAGAGAGAGATTAAGCCTTGTTTGTTCATAAATAACAATGCACAAATTTGGAGGAAAATACAGGTTAGGCTCAAGGGGGTAAGGTAAACATACAAATAATACATTCCAGGTAAATCCCATAGACAGACAGACAGATAGGGAATGGGGTGTGTGAAGGGTTAGGAGACAGATGAGGAGAAGGGGTGTGGGGCAGACTAGGGCACAGTTAGGGAGTGTGCTATGGGTTCAGACACACACACGGACAGATAGACAGGCAGGTGAGGTCATGGGTTTGGGGTGGAGTTAGAATGATAGCAGTGATAATTACTCTGCATCTGCCCCTGGGCCTGGCCCCCACAGCACCCACCTCCGTCGGGGAAGAGGGACCAGAATACCACGCGGTAGCCCTTCAGCACGCCATGCAGTGTCAGACGCGGGGGCTCCACCCACGTGATCACCGCCTCGTCTGACGTCACCGAGATAGCCCGCACGTTCTGGGGCGGCTGGCTGGGCACTGGGGGTAGGAGAGAGGTTAAAGGTTAACATCCCAGAGGACCATAGTGCACCTTATTGAACACAGCTGTCTGCGACTAATAGGACGGATATACAGTAATAGTAATAAACTGCATCACATCCCCAAAATACTATTTATTCCAATCTTCAATTTTCAATCACTGCAATGGAGAAAGAAAGAGAGAGGTATAAAGTGAGGGATGGCAGAGAGAGAGGCAGGTATAAGGGAGAAGGGAAAGAGGGATACCCTGTAGCGTTTAACAGGGGAGTCTTGACTGTTAAGGGTTAACTTGGAGGAAGGGGGATGGTGATGAGAGGCAGACGGAGGATAAAAAGCAGAAGTGTGCGGATGGAGGACAATGTGTCCAGCTGTGTGATAATTGCAGCTGTAGAAACAGCAGCAAACAGACAGACAGAGACAGACAGACAATGTGTGTTGTAGTTACCATCATTGCTAACTAATTATCATAATCAGGATCTACATCTATCTCTATCATTAAGGCTGTACAAACGAATGGAGAGGGAGGGACTAAGATGTCTGTCTGATGTAAAGATAAAAAAGAAAGTAGCGAGAGAAGGAGAAGGGGGATTCCCCAATGAAAGCAAAGGGAGGGATAGATTCAGGAGAGAAAAAATGGAATGAACAAAAAAATTAATGGTGTAAACGAGAGAGGGAATAGAGAGATAACCAATGAAGGGGACAGAGGGTGAAGGAGAGGAAGAGAGAGAGAGAGAGAGAGAGGAGAGAGGTAGAGTGGGCAGGCATATTCAGAGAGTAATGGGGTCTCTCGCTCTCTCAGTCTACTGAGGGAGCTAATTAAAATAGGAGAATGATGGGGGATGTGCTGCATGTTCATTTCCTCCATTTTGTCTCAGAGACTGTGTGTGAGAGTGTGTTTGCACAACTGAATCAATGTGTGGGTGCATCTTTATTTGCTGTTTTTCCACGCTATTCTTACATGATTGGACTCTATTTACTATTCCTGTTGACAAGTTAAAGAAATCCACCCGTTCTACTAGCAGAGTATGAATCTCTCTCTCTCTCTCTCTCTCTCCTCTCTCTCCTCTCTCTCCTCTCTCTCTCTCTCTCTCTCTCTCATCTCTCTCTCTCCTCTCCTCTCTCTCTCTCTCTTCTCTCATCTCCTCTCTCTCTCTCCTCGCTCCTCTCCTCTTCTCTCTCGCTCTCCCTCTCCTCTCTCCTCTCGTGCTTCTTCTCCTCTCCTCCTCTGTCTCGTCCTCTCGTCTGTCGTCTCCCTCTTCCGCGTCGTCCATCTCTTCTCGTGCTCTCTCTCCTCTCGCTCATCTTCCCTCCTCTTCGGTCCTCTCCTCTCAATCTCCGTCCTCCTCCCTCTCCTCTCTTCCTCTCCTCCCTCTCTTCTCTCTCCATCTCGTCATCCTTCTCTCTTCCTCGCTCTCCGTCTACGCTGCTCTCTTCTCTCTCCTCTCCTCTCTTCTCCATCCTCTATCACTCCTTCATCGTTCTCTCTCTACTCTCGTCTCCACTCTCTCGCTCCTCACTCGTTCTCTACTCTCCCGTCTGCTTCTCTACTCTCTCACTCCCTCTAACTGGGGTCCTCCTCATGAGCTCGCTCCTCACTAAAATTGCTCTCAGCTTCGTACTCTCTGCTCTCTCCTCCCCTACTCTCTATCCTCCTCTCTTATCTCTAACCTCCCTCCCTCCTGTCTTACCATCCTCTAGTGTGGTAGCATTGATCTCAGTGCTAGAGGGGCCAGTGCCAGCCCTGTTGAAGGCCTGGACCACCACTCCATACTGGGCGAACTTCTTCAGGTTGTCCAGGGTGTACACCTCACTGTCCCCCGTGGCCTTCATCTCCACAATGCTGTATTGGCCGTTACTGCCCGGCCCGTTCTCACGGTAACCGATCTGGTACCCCCGGATCACCCCGTTCTGAAGCTCCTTTCTGGGGGCCTGAGTGGGAGAGGCAGGGGATAGCTCTGTTAGGACACTGACTGGAGATCAATGGCAGTTAGTTTGAATGTCTCACTTATTATGATATTATAGCATAAAGGAAGAGAAGCATGATGGTTAATGAAGTTTACCCTCCATGTGACCCGTATGCTCTGAGACGTCATTGGTTGGAGGATCACTTCCATAGGGGGCCCATCAGGTTCTGTTGAGGAGAGAGGTTGAAATAAGGGTTTCAATGGCACCAAACAAGACATCATTTTAAATAAGTGTGTGTGTGTGTGTGTATGTATGTGTGTGTGTGTTTGTGTGTGTGCTTGTGCATGTGTGTGTTTGCGTGCGCGTGTGCGTATACAGTGCCTTTAAAAAGTATTTGCCCCCTTTCTAATTTTCTCTACTTTTACATATGTGTGATACTGAATGTTATCAGATCTTCAACCAAAACCTAATATTAGATAAAGGGAACATAAGTGAACAAATAACACAACAATTACATATTTATTTCATTTATTTCATAAACAAAGTTATGCAACACCCAATTCCCATGTGTGAAAAAGTAATTGCCCCCTTACACTCAATAACTGGTTGTGCCACCTTTAGCTGCAATGACTCCAACCAAATGCTTCCTGTAGTTGTTGATCAGTCTCTCACGTCACTGTGGAGGAATTTTGGCCCACTCTTCCATGCAGAACTGCTTTAACTCAGTGACGTGTGGGTTTTCAAGCATGAACTGCTCGTTTCAAGTCCTGCCACAACATCTCAATTGGGATTAGGTCTGGACTTTGACTAGGCCATTCCAAAACTTCCAATTTGTTGCTTTTTAGCAATATACATGTAGACTTGATTGGGTATTTTGGATCATTGTCTTGCTGCATGACCCAGCTGCGCTTCAGCTTCATCTCACAGAAGGATGGTCTGACATTCTCCTGTAGAATTCTCTGATACAGAGCAGAATTCATGGTTCCTTCTATTAAGGCAAGTCGTCCAGGTCCTGAGGCACATGTTCTTACTGTGGAATGCATTGTTTGGTTTTTGTCCATAGAACGTTCTTCCAAGAGTCTTGATGATCATCCAGGTGCATTTTGGCAAACTTGAGTCAACTTTTTATGCCTGGCGAAAACCAAACACTGCATTCCACAGTAAGAACATCATACCAAAGGTCAAGCATGGTGGTGGTGGTGTGATGGTTTGGGGATGCTTTGCTGCCTCAGGACCTGGACGACTTGCCTTAATAGAAGGAACCATGAATTCTGCTCTGTATCAGAGAATTCTACAGGAGAATGTCAGACCATCCGTCTGTGAGCTGAAGCTGAAGCGCAGCTGGGTCATATAGCAAGACAATGATCCAAAACACACAATCAAGTCTACATGGAAATTGCTAAAAAGCAACGAATTGGAAATTTTGGAATGGCCTAGTCAAAATCCAGACCTAATCCCAATTGAGATGTTGTGTCAGGACTTGAAACGAGCAGTTCATGCTTGAAAACCCACACGTCACTGAGTTAAAGCAGTTCTGCATGGAAGAGTGGGCCAAAATTCCTCCACAGCGACGTGAGAGACTGATCAACAACTACAGGAAGCATTTGGTTGGAGTCATTGCAGCTAAAGGTGGCACAACCAGTTATTGAGTGTAAGGGGGCAATTACTTTTTCACACATGGGAATTGGGTGTTGCATAACTTTGTTTATGAAATAAATGAAATAAATATGTAATTGTTGTGTTATTTGTTCATTTATGTTCCCTTTATCTAATATTAGGTTTTGGTTGAAGATCTGATAACATTCAGTATCACAAATATGTAAAAGTAGAGAAAATTAGAAAGGGGGCAAATACTTTTTCATAGTACTGTATGTGTGCGGTTAGACTTACGTGCTTCCTCAGTGCTGATGGTGAGCTCCTTGCTAGGCTGGCTGCGTCCGATCTTGTTGAAGGAGTACATGCGGATGCTGTAGACACAGGCAGGGTGCAGCTCCACGATGTTAGCCTGGTTGTTAGTGGGGGAGATGTTCCTGGTTGTGTACTTGTGATCCCAAGTGTCTGTAACATATAGAAGCAGATAGAGAGGACATTAGAGGACCACAGATAAGGGAGTTAGAATGAGGACAATAGGGATATGAGGGTTTACAGGGTTAGACAGGTTGGACTCGTACCAGACTTGTTCTTATACTCAATGTCGTAGCTGGTGATGATGCTGTTGCCATCAAACCTCTGGATCCAGCGCAGGTTCATACTGCGGTCCTTCACCTCTCTCACCTCCAACTCAGGAGGGTCAGGAGGCTCTGTGTGTGTTAAAGAAGGAGGTTGGGTATACATTTAACCTTAATCACTGGTCGGTCAACAGTGAGGCTATGTGCAGTAACAGCAGAGTGAGAGAGATAGGCACCTTGCACGGTAAGCTGGATGAGTCCTCGCCCCTCTCCGTATGAGTTGATGGCGTGGCAGGAGAAGAAGACTGAGTCCCCACGCTCCGCTGGCTTCAGCTACATGGGGGACAGCAACACATTAAGGAGAGCATGAGTGGACATGGGTTATTTAGTGGTCAAAACTACACTGCATACTATACTGAACCATTTTGTACTTTGATCTCAACTCAATTGGGCTCTATTCTAAATTCTAATGCCCTCCAATTTAATTCTCTCAACATTTTGCCCTCTTTCCTCAGTGTCTGACCTTGAGTGTGGAGATAACCTCGTCCCCCTTCTTGTTGATGGTGATGGAGTAGCGGGGGTTCCTCTCGGCATCGATGACAGTGTCACCCCTCTCCCATCGGATGATGATGGGCTGCTCCCCCCGCGCTGTGCAGTTCAGCTCCTTCATCTGGCCCTTGATGGCCATGGTGGTGTTAGGGTGCGACGTGATCATGGCTGGAACTGGAGACACACACAGAGAGAAATATTCATGAATGTGATGAATAGATATGGGGGAATGAGAGAACTAAAGAGGGATGAGTATTTGAAAAATCTAGGAACTGTACAGGTGTGTAGAAAATAGAAATCTCAATTTATGCCCTCCATCACTCTCTATTTTCATTTCACGCTCCATGCCCTCGTGGCCCTCTCACACCCCCTCCTCTTTTCCCCGTCTACCTACTTCCCTCCTCTCCTTTTCTCTCCTTCCCTCCTCTCCGCCAACATGGGTTATTGATCTGAGGGGTTCCTGCTGTTTTGTTTTCATCACTAATTCATCAGAACCTTTCCTTCCCCACCACAGCCATAGACAGACAGAAAGACACACAGACTGGAGGAACAAAACAATCAACATGCACACACACACACACACACACACACACACACACACACACACACACACACCAAAATGGAAACAATACATATACAGTGGGGGAAAAAAGTATTTAGTCAGCCACCAATTGTGCAAGTTCTCCCACTTAAAAAGATGAGAGAGGCCTGTAATTTTCATCATAGGTACACGTCAACTATGACAGACAAATTGAGGAAAGAAAATCCAGAAAATCACATTGTAGGATTTTTAATGAATTTATTTGCAAATTATGGTGGAAAATAAGTATTTGGTCACCTACAAACAAGCAAGATTTCTGGCTCTCACAGACCTGTAACTTCTTCTTTCAGAGGCTCCTCTGTCCTCCACTTGTTACCTGTATTAATGGCACCTGTTTGAACTTGTTATCAGTATAAAATACACCTGTCCACAACCTCAAACAGTCACACTCCAAACTTCACAATGGCCAAGACCAAAGAGCTGTCAAAGGACACCAAAAACAAAATTGTAGACCTGCACCAGGCTGGGAAGACTGAATCTGCAATAGGTAAGCAGCTTGGTTTGAAGAAATCAACTGTGGGAGCAATTATTAGGAAATGGAAGACATACAAGACCACTGATAATCTCCCTCGATCTGGGGCTCCACGCAAGATCTCACCCCGTGGGGTCAAAATGATCACAAGAACGGTGAGCAAAAATCCCAGAACCACACGGGGGGACCTAGTGAATGACCTGCAGAGAGCTGGGACCAATGTAACAAAGCCAACCATCAGTAACACACTACGCCGCCAGGGACTCAAATCCTGCAGTGCGAGACGTGTCCCCCTGCTTAAGCCAGTACATGTCCAGGCCCGTCTGAAGTGCATTTGGATGATCCAGAAGAGGATTGGGAGAATGTCATATGGTCAGATGAAACCAAAATATAACTTTTTGGTAAAAACTCAACTCGTCATGTTTGGAGGACAAAGAATGCTGAGTTGCATCCAAAGAACACCATACCTACTGTGAAGCATGGGGTTGGAAACATCATGCTTTGGGGCTGTTTTTCTGCAAAGGGACCAGGACGACTGATCCGTGTAAAGGAAAGAATGAATGGGGCCATGTATCGTGAGATTTTGAGTGAAACCCTCCTTCCATCAGCAAGGGCATTGAAGATGAAACGTGGCTGGGTCTTTCAGCATGACAATGATCCCAAACACACCGCCCGGGCAACGAAGGAGTGGCTTCGTAAGAAGCATTTCAAGGTCCTGGAGTGGCCTAGCCAGTCTCCAGATCTCAACCCCATAGAAAATCTTTGGAGGGAGTTGAAAGTCTGTGTTGCCCAGCGACAGCCCCAAAACATCACTGCTCTAGAGGAGATCTGCATGGAGGAATGGGCCAAAATACCAGCAACAGTGTGTGAAAACCTTGTGAAGACTTACAGAAAACGTTTGACCTGTGTCATTGCCAACAAAGGGTATATAACAAAGTATTGAGAAACTTTTGTTATTGACCAAATACTTATTTTCCACCATCATATGCCAATAAATTCATTAAAAATCCTACAATGTGATTTTCTGGATTTTTTTTCCTCATTTTGTCTGTCATAGTTGACGTGTACCTATGATGAAAATTACAGGCCTCTCTCATCTTTTTAAGTGGGAGAACTTGCACAATTGGTGGCTGACTAAATACTTTTTTTCCCCACTGTACATTTGCAATAGCAGTAGAAAAAGCACATATACCCTCAAACGTATCCCTCTCACACACAAAAGCGTTCACCGTCAGCCCACTAACACCCCTATCAGATCACAGCAAAATCACAGTCTACCTGAACAGAGCAATACTCAATCATGAGGCATCAAAGCCAAAGGAACTGCACAATATTAAGAAATGCTATAGACGGAAGGAAAGTAGTGTAGAAACCTACCAAAAAAACAATTAGACAACAACAAATTCAATCCCTTTTAGACAACTTCCTGGACAAAACATTTCACTGTAATAGTGAAGGTGTAAACTTGTCAGTAGAAAGCCTAAACAGTATATTTGACCTTTTAGCTTTCCTATCAAATCAAAACATTTCAAGCAGACAACCTAATAAAATTAACAACAATGACAAATGGTTTGAGGAAGAATGCAAAAACCTAAGAAAGAAATTGAGAAACCCATCCAACCAAAAACATAGAGACCCAGAAAACCTGAGTCTATGCCTTCACTATGGTGAATCACTAAAACAATAAAGAAATACACTGTGGAAAAAGAAAGAACAGCACATCAGAAATCAGCTCAATGTAATTGAAGAATCCATAGAATCTAACCACTTCTGGGAAAATTGGAACACACTTAACAAACAACAACACAAAGAGTTATCTATCCAAAATGGAGATGTGTGGATAAACCACTTCTCCAATCTTTTTGGCTCTATAAAGAACAAACAGCAAAAACATATACATGATTAATTACACATCTTAGAATCAGCTATTAAAGACTACCAGAACCCACTGGATTCTCGAATTACATTGAATGAACTACAGGACAAAATACAAACCCTCCAACCCAAAAAGACCTGTGGTGTTGATGGTATCCTACATGAAATGATAAAACATACAGACAAAAAATTCCAATTGGCTATACTTAAACTCTTTAACACCATCCTCAGCTCTGGCATCATCCTCAATATTTGGAACCAAGGACTGATAACCCCAATCCACAGAAGTGGAGAAGATTTGACCCCAATAACTACCGTGGGATATGCGTCAACAGCAACCTTGGGAAAATCCTCTGCATTATCATTAACAGCACACTTGTACATTTCCTCAGTGAAAACAATGTACTGAGCAAATGTCAAATGGGCTTTTTACCAAATTACCATACGACAGACCACGTATTCACCCTGCACTCCCTAATTGACAAACAAACCAAAACAAAGTATTATCATGCTTTGTTGACTTCAAAAAAGCTTTTGACTCAATTTGGCATGAGGGTCTGCTATACAAATAGATGGAAAGTGGTGTTGGGGGAAAAACATATGACATTATAAAATCCATGTACACAAACAACAAGTGAGCGATTAAAATTGGCAAAAAACACACACATTTCTTTCCACAGGGCCGTGGGGTGAGACAGGGATGCAGCTTAAGCCCCACCCTCTTCAACATACACACTACCGTTCAAAAGTTTGGGGTCACTTAGAAATGTCCTTGTTTTCAATGAAAACATACAGTTGAAGTCGGAAGTTTACATACACTTAGGTTGGAGTCATTAGAACTTGTTTTTCAACCACACCACAAATTTCTTGTTAACAAACTATAGTTTTGGCAAGTCGGTTAGGACATCTACTTTGTGCATGACACAAGTAATTTTTCCAACAATTGTTTACAGACAGATTATTTCACTTATAATTCACTGTATCACAATTCCAGTGGGTCAGAAGTTTACATACAATAAGTTGACTGTGCCTTTAAACAGCTTGGAAAATTCCAGAAAATGATGTCATGGCTTTAGAAGCTTCTGATAGGCTAATTGACATAATTTGAGTCAATTGGAGGTGTACCTGTGGATGTATTTCAAGGCTTACCTTCGAACTCAGTGCCTCTTTGCTTGACATCATGGGAAAATCAAAAGAAATTAGCCAAGACCTCAGAAAAAACATTGTAGACCTCCAAAAGTCTGGTTCATCCTTGGGAGTAATTTCCAAATGCCTGAATGTATCACGTTCATCTGTACAAACAATAGTACGCAAGCATAAACACCATGGGACCACGCAGCCGTCATACCGCTCAGGAAGGAGACGTGTTCTGTCTCCTGGAGATGAACGTACTTTGGTGCGAAAAGTGCAAATCAATCCCAGAACAACAGCAAAAGACCTTGTGAAGATGCTGGAGGAAACAGGTACAAAAGTATCTATATCCACAGTAAAACGAGTCCTATATCGACATAACCTGAAAGGCCACTCAGCAAGGATGAAGCCACTGCTCCAAAACCGCCATAATAAAGCCAGACTACGGTTTGCAACTGCACATGGTGACAAAGATCGTACATTTTGGAGAAATGTCCTCTGGTCTGATGAAACAAAAATAGAACTGTTTGGCCATAATGACCATTGTTATGTTTGGATGAAAAAGGGGGTGGCTTGCAAGCCGAAGAACACCATCCCAGCCGTGAAGCACGGGGGTGGCAGCATCATGCTGTGGGGGTGCTTTGCTGCAGGAGGGACTGGTGCACTTCACAAAATAGATGGCATCATGAGGAAGGAAAATGATGTGGATATATTGAAGCAACATCTCAAGACATCAGTCAGGAAGTTAAAGCTTGGTCGCAAATGGGTCTTCCAAATGGACAATGACCCAAGCATACTTCCAAAGTTGTGGCAAAATGGCTTAAGGACAACAAAGTCAAGGTATTGGAGAGCGCCATCACAAAGCCCTGACCTCAATCCTATAGAAAATGTGTTGGCAGAACTGAAAAAGCATGTGCGAGCAAGGAGGCCTACAAACCTGACTCAGTTACACCAGCTCTGTCAGGAGGAATGGGCCAAAATTCACCCAACTTATTTTGGGAAGCTTGTGGAAGGCTACCCGAAACGTTTGACCCAAGTTAAACAATTTAAAGGCAATGCTACCAAATACTAATTGAGTGTATGTAAACTTCTGAC